TATAACAGTATATATACATATATATATATATTACAGTATATATACAGTATATATATATATATTTTTTTTATATACAAATATATTCACGTTTATGTGTTCCAAAATTCTTGCACAGCAGGGTAAACTTTGTGATATTGAAAAATATGTTTTGATGTAGGAAGAAGTGATGTTTCAGATGATTTTCTAACCTGAAAACAAACAACATCCCATATTTGTTCAAATATTACCTGTGAGGAAGGAGACGTATACAGGGGAGCTTCTGTGTTCCCCCCTCCTGGCTGACAGAGACACCTTGTATCGGGTGTCGGGGCTCAGTCCTCCCAGATGGTACTGGGTGTCAGTGGAGGACAGCTCGATCACTTTTCGATCAACAGGGTTTAGACTTGGCCAGAAGGCCATGGTGATGCCATCCACAGCAGCCACGGGTTGGAACCAGGTCACCAGGGCGGTAGTTTCGGTCAGGTCATGCACATCCACCTGGCTGGGGGCATCAATCACTGGTTGTGTGAGGAGGAGGAGCGAAATCAGTGTGGAAGGAGACACACAGCAGCAAATAAACATTCACACTTTGTCCCCCTGCCCTACATGATAAGTTAGTGATCCATTTTCTCTCTGACGAGCCTTCCATTTCATCACTACCTGCTGCTGAAAGGTGAAAACAGCTACGGTTTTTTGTCTTTGCCTGTAAGCAAAATTTTTCATGAACCACTGTACATTTTACTCAGACTTGTAGAATGTAACTATTGGACTTAATTGAGTTTCTAAAACATTTGAACTTGTTACATTGATATCTCCCCTTTATTGAAAAGGAGTATTTCTCCCAGACTCGTTCCCATGAAAATAACACCATAAGAATCTTTTGTTTGTTCTAATTGACATTCCTTTTCCAGATGTTCAGTTCAACAGTGACACCTCTGTTAAAACATTGCATGCTTTAATTTTAATTCTAAAATGTCATATGATGAATGTTTATTCACGAGAATGTGTGTTTTAAGTAATCTTTCTTTAATATAATAACTTTGTTTTATTTTCTCTTTTAGAAGGAAAACTTTTAAGGCAGAAACAGGACTTTACATTTCTAAAACAACAACAAAAGTTAGAACCACCCCTCCCGAGGTGGATCAGTCCTATCTGTTTTAACACGGACAGTTAAGTTTCACTTTTGAAGAAAAACTCCAGAGAGACACACTGGAACAGAGAACTGGAGAGAGAAGAAACACAGCTTCTGCACTTGACCTCAGAGAGGAGAGGAGCATCCTTTCTGCAGACGACTTTGAGCAAACGAGGAGCATCCTTCTGCAGACGTCTCAAAATGAGAGATAGGAGAAAAGATACAGAAGTTACCTAGCAACTGACCTGAACCAGAACCAGGCTGGCATTGAATCAAGAGCTCCAGTTGCCTAACAGGCAACCAGAATCTCACAGCAGAGGAGTGGTAAATCAGAGCTGACTTCCAGAGCCAGTGGCCGTACCTTCGTCCTTCCAACCGATGACAGGTGAACTTTGAGGAGACTTCAGCCTCTCAGTCACCAGAACATCTTAGGCCTTGCTGGTATCATTAGCAGCTGTCGGAACCATGCTCTGACCATCTACATCCTGGTAGGACAGAGACTTTTCAATGCCTTTCTGGTGACCCTACATTACAACTTATTAGACAAACTTAGCTCACCTTAGAAATATCTAGCCACTTCAGCCACCTTTTAAGTTTCACCAATGTTACTCATCAATTAGACCTTTGATTCAAAGCCATTTGATGTTCAGTTAAATTTTTGTCATGCTTAATCTTTATCATATATATCACAGATTATTATTTTTATAATAAAATACAGTGCATAAAATTCAACTGAATTTGTGATTATTTTGGCATATCTGTGTGTATTACTGATTTGATGCCTTTAAACACGAAAAAAGAACTCATGTTCAATTTACATTATTGTGGGGTAAATAAAGACTGATTTTCCTTTCCAGAGAGAGGTGGTGCCCAAACAACAAGTTTATTTGTATAATACATGCATATTTTATGAGCTTAAGTCATAACTGAAAAAAATATATATATATTTACACCCCATATCGCTACAACGGGAAGATGGAAGGAGTACTTTGAGAAGCTAATTAATGAAGAGAATGAAAGAGAAAGAAGAATAGAGGTCATAAAAACTGTGGACCAGGAAATGGGAAAGATTAGTGAGGGTGAAGTTCAGAAAGCTCTGAAAAGAATGAAGAAGGGGAAGGCAGTAGGACCTGATGACATAATTAAGGGAGTATCAGAGAAACTGAGATGTTTATTTTCTAAACATTACGTCCCAGTGGCTTTTAAACCCCAAAATACATTACGGCAAAGACTGGTTCATCCCAAAGATCCAGTCCCCCGGCACAAACAGAGTAATGTTGTGTATGCTGTTCAGTGTCAGGAGGGTTGTGATCAGTCTTACATCGGGGAAACAAAACAGCCACTGGCCAAAAGGATGGACCAGCACAGAAGATCAACAACATCAGGCCAGGACTCTGAGGTCTACACTCATCTCCAGGCCAGCGGTCACTCTTTCAGGGATGAAGACGTTTACATCCTGGATAGAGAGGAACAGTGGTTTGAGAGAGGAGTAAAGGAGGCCATCTTTGTGAAAAGAAACCGTCCATCATTAAACAGGGGTGGAGGCCTCCAGGTTCAACTGTCCCCCTCTTACAATGCTGTGATTGCTAGTATCACTCAGCCCTCTGTGAACAGTAAACAGCCATCAGTGTGCTAATGATCCATTGTTAGGCTGATGGTCCTTCTTGAGCATGTGAGCAGCTGGTTTTGGTTGTCAGCGGCAAACTGGTTGATCCACTATGAGAAGGTGCTATTTATAAGACTGAGCTGAACACAGCACCTCAGACTGAGGAAGTCTTTCGGATGAAAGACGAAACGTTTCTACATTTTTTGTTGTTTTGCTTTGTTTTGTTTTTTGAATGTCCAGAGGACCAGATTGAACTTTTTTAGATTTTTCTACCTGGATTATTGAGCATGCATCAGGATATCGCTGGCAGTAGTCCATCTGAAGCTTAACTGAACTTTTTACTTCTTTCAACTGGCTGGTCAGTGCATGGTCAAATGGCCACGTGCCGCAGGTGCAGTATGGCAAGCCATGTTTGCATATATTGGATCGTTGGCCGCACGTGTTCCTGACACAATACAAAGCCCTATACTGACCCGGCCCACACATTAAGCACATTATTATGGTCCAGCCCGGTCCGAATCCGGGTTGGGTGGGGCTGGGCTCCGGGTTAGAAATGACAACTCCTATATATATGTAGAGGGATATGGGGCTGGATATATAATGTATATTATCAGTTATGAGTTAAGCTCATAAGATATGCAGTCATTATGCAAATAACCTCGTTCTTTGGGCACCACCTCTGTTTTAGAGGAAAAATAAGTCTCTAACCCCAACTTAAATGTAAACTGAAACGTGCATTATTTTCTCATGTTTAAAGGGCATCAAATCAGTTAATGCACACCGATATGCCAAAATAATCACAAATTTAGTTGATTTTATGTATTTTATTAGAAAAATAATAATCTGTGAAATATCTGATGAAGAATATGCATGACAAAAGTTAACTGAATAACAAAATAGCTTTGCATCAAATGTCTAATTCATTATTCAAATCAGTGAAACTTCAAAAGGCAGATTTTGGACTGGTTCTGTTTGTGAAGTAGTTAAAATTTGTGTCTAAAGTGAGCGAGCAACAAAGTCCATGCTCAATAATCCAGGTATACAATCCAACATTTTTCAGTCAGGTCATCTGGACAGTTTCTTTTTTTTTTTGTGCTGAAACGTTTCGCCTTCGGTCCGGAAGGCTACATCAGTCAAGGAAACACACAACAAAACTGATTCTTCCCCCAACAGCTTATTCCAAAGTGGAACAAACCAGTTCTGCTTGTGATAAGATGGTCTCTTTGGTACACACCCACCTCCATTGCGGGCCCTCTTCCTTGTTGACAGTCTTGTCAAACTGGATGAAAACAACAAAGTCCATGCTCAATAATCCTTTTTGTGGGTTTTATCCCGTCACGCAAAGCATTCCACTGAAAAAATTTAGTCCACGCCCAACTGGTGTCTGGGCCCCACCTAGTCCATATAAATTACGTTGAGAGTGGGTAATCGGCACCCAAATAGCTTTTTCTTCAGCCATTTAGGAGCCAGTGAGGCCCAGAGCTTAAAGGGCTACGCCTATACTCATAGAATCTGGGGTTACAGTACGTAACCAATGTTCTATTTTGTATAGGCTTCGCCCTTTAAGGCTGTCGCTTGTGGGTTAAGGGTGAAGCAGGATGTAGTCTCTGCCTCACTGGGTCCATTTGAACACCGTATGAAGCGCCCGCTTGCACCAAAAAACATTTTATCACTCAGCCCTCCATGTGCGTAAATACGCACTGCGTAATTATGCGCACCATGTACAGACGCGCGCTGCGTAATTTACGCATTCCGCGTACATGGACACCCGGGAGACAAAAGTTCTCGACGGGAAAAGGGGAGAGGCTGAAAAACAGTGGACAGATTCATAATAAATGAACTGATTAGTAATCAAATTGACTGATTGGTAACAGTAGTCATGAACTGATTAGTGACATTAGAACAAGAACCAACAGTCACGAACTTGTGACTGATAACAAATATCTCACACTGTAATCGCATGCAGTCAGATGTGAGTTTAAACGAAGTTCCATGAAAAAAAGAAGAGATTCATTCTGTTAAGGTACCGAGGACAGAATGTGTCATGGAGCGAGCCGACACATCACACAGATAGAAGCAAATAAATGAGCAGGGCGATGACCACGCGGCTGCAGTGCAAATATCCTGCATTGTCATACCATTATGCAAGGCTGTTGAGGATGCGATTCCTCTGGTCGAGTGCGCCCTGAGGTTGTCAGGGGGCTCTAAACCTGATGCTCTGTAAGCTTCAGAAATGGCCTCACACAGCCAATGTGACAGGCGCTGGGTGGATAACGGGCGACTTGCAGAGGCATCTCTATAATGCACAAACAAATGTTGAGTCTGACGCAGTGTGGCCGTGCGTGCTACGTAACATGCCAACGCACGCACAGGGCAAAGGAGATGAAAAGATGCTTCTTCTTCTGATTTGTGGGGAGGAGGGAAAAACCCCTCCAACATTATCATTCTCGGTTTAAATGAGCTTGTGATGTTTTTAGGCATGAACGCTGGATTACGTCTCAGATAAGCTGAACTGCCATCAGCCTGAATCCTGAGGCATGACGGAGCAACAGAGAGGGCAGATAAATCACTCACACTCTTTGCAGATGTCAAAGCCAACAGCAGGGCTGTTTTAAGTGACAAGAATTTAATCGAAACCTGATCTAACGGCTCAAAAGGAGCTTTGATCAGGGCTCGCAAAACCATCGTTAAGTCCCACTGTGGAGCTAGTGGACGTGACACTGGTCTGTCTCCGAACACCTTTCAGAAAACGCTTCATCAGCGGGTGATTAAAAACTGTTCTGTCATCGAAGCCTTCGTGACAGGAACAGACGACTGCAGCATATGTTTTAATTGTGCTGATGCCAGATTTCTGTCCATCAGCCGCTGCAAAAAGGACAGCACGCCACCTAATGGACATGATATGGCCTCTACACCTTTTTCCATACACCAGCGTTGAAAAGCTGTCCACTTTGATGTGTACAGTGCTGTGGTGGAGGTAGCGCATGAATCCTGGATTGTGTGCACTACTTCTTGAGAGAGACCCTTCTTCACTAAGCGGATCCGCTCAGCGGCCAGACCCAAAGATGCTGGCCTATTTCTGGGTGGCTCCTGATCGCTTCTCCCGCCAGGAGGAGAGCATCGTCCCTCCACGGCAGTTTCCACGGATGACCCGATAACAAGCGACGCAGGATTGGAAACCACGGGGCGCTCACGCACTCGGGGGCTATCAGAATGGTAGACAGTTCTTCCTCCTGAACTCGGTTCAGAAACTGTGATATTAGAGGGACTGGGGGAAAAGCGTAAAGGAACATTTTGAGCCACGGACTGTGGGCAAACGCATCCACTCCTAACGGTGGATCGTCCCATGGGCTCAGTGAGAACCATAGTTGGCACTGGGCATTCTCCCGTGTGGCAAATAAGTCCACTTCTGCTCTGCCAAATTTCTCCCAAATCAGAGAAATCAGCTTGGGATGGACTCCAGTCCCCGTGGCGCGGACTGCCCCAGAACATTATGTCCGCTCCTCTGTTCAGGACGCCGGGGATGTACACTGCTCTGATGGAGAACAGTTTTTTGTGTGCCCAACACAGCAGCTGTCTCGTAATGTATAACATTTGGGCTGAGCGCACACCCCCCTGCCGGTTTATATAAGCAACAGTCACCTTGTTGTCTGTGTGGATCAGAACGTGCTGATTCTGCAACACAGGAGCAAATGTTGATTAACATTCAAAACCGTGCGACATTCCAAAACATTTATGTGAGCTGATGTGTGAGCTGGCCACAGCGCCCCCACCACTCATGACAGGCACATTCCTCCCCAACCTGACAGGGACGCGTCTGTGAAAACTGAGACGTGTGATGTAGGTCTGCTGACAGGGACTCCCTCTGACAGCTTGAGAGGGGTTCCCCAATGTTTCAGGTTGGTTCCCACAGAGAGGGGCACAGAGATCAATCATCCACCTCTTCTGCCTTACTGGATCTATGCGCAGATGAGCGAACCACCTCTGGAGACTTCTCATGTGAAGTAAGCCCAGCGGGACCACCGCGTGAGCTGACAACATTGTTCCTAAAAGTTTCATGATGGAGACCGATGTCAGTACTCTGCCCGTTTTGACGTGGCGGAGCTGGTCTTTTAGAGTTCCGGCTCTCGTTTGTGATAAACGGGCCCTCATAGTGACAGAGTTTAGCTCCACTCCCAGATAAACGATCATCTGGGCCGGGAGAATCGAGTTCTTCTCCCAGTTTATGATGAAGCCGAGATTTAACAGGTGTGACGCCAGCACTTTGGTTTGCGCCGCTGCTTCCTGCCTGGATCCAGTCAGCAACAGCAGATCATCCAGGTAAAACAGAATTCTCATCTCTGCTCTGTGTAGCGGCTGCAGGGCCGTCTCCACGCATTTTGAAAATGTGCGTTGTGCGAGGGAGTAACCAAACGGAAGCCTGTTGTATTGGTATTGGGTCCCTTGGAAGGAGAAGTGCAGGAACTTTCTGTGCTTTGGAATGATTGGAATGTGAAAATAAGCGTCTTTGAGATTGATGGAGGTAAATCAGTCGTTCTGGTGAATGTTGTTCAACAGCTGTCTGGTTGTCAACGTATGAAACTGTCTCTCCATAATCGACTTGTTGAAAATGGATAAATTTAAGATGGGTCTCATCCCTCCGGTCTGTTTCGGAACCAGGAAGTAACGTGAGTAAAACCCTGTGTTTTCCTCTCCGTTGGGAACCCTTGAAATTACATTTTTTACCAGTAGTTCCTGAACTTCTGCATGAATGGATGAGATCTGTTCTGAAGATGACAGAATCATCTCTATAATCCCTCTGAATGGTGGGGGTTGAGCTGCGAACTGCAGGGTGTAACCCTTGCTGATAAGACGATTCATCCAGCTGTTCAGGGAACATGCTCGCTGCCACTCCGCGTAACGCTCTGGGAGCGGGCACGCGTTTTTGTGTTGTGAGGGGGAGTGTCGAAGATGTTTCAACTTCAAGGTCAGTTGAACCAAAACTCATTAAAACGATCTGTCCTTTTCATGGGAAATGAGTTCATATTGGCAGTGACGTTAACATAGTGACAGTTTTTTTATTACATTTACTTTAGTGTCAACTTGGGGGTGGCTGTGGCTGAGTGGTTAGAGCAGTCATCCTCCAATACGAGAGTTGGGGGTTCAAATCCACCAGCAGTCACATGCTGAAGTGTCCCTGGGCAAGACACTGAACCCCTCATAGCCTCTGATGTGTGTCCCATCAGTGTATGAATGTGATCTAAAGCACTGATTAGTCTCTTTAGAATGATTGTTCAATTAGCTTTGTAGAGATCTAGTAGAGTGCTGTATGAATGGGTAAATGAGGACACAGATTGTAGTGTAAAGTGCTTTGAATATCTTGAAATAAGATAGAAAGGCGCTATATAAGTACAGTCCATTTACCATTTAAGAAGTTAGTGAGCTGAGTTGAACACCTGTAAAACAAAGTCTGTTTGTTCCCAAGGGAATAGGTGCATCTTATTTTAAACAATTTCAAACACAAAACACATGAATGATGTTTGTTTGAGATGAGTTGAACTCTTTTTCTGTTTAAGCTGAGATTAACCGTTTTCTGAGATGAGGTGTTCTTTTCTGAGGTGGTGTTCCCCTACAT